TCATTTCTGTTAATAAGCCCTTATCAACTACTAGAGTTCCTTTTTTGTTTCCAACTTTTGAATTTTCAGTTCATTTCAGACTGCATATGTTAGTAGAAATTCTCAATTTCTTCATCTTTGGCTTTTGTAGTTGTTGTGTATATTTGAATAATATGGTACCTTTATGGTACCATAAAAGGTAACATCTTTGAGCTGAGATGGACTAGTATTGGCTATTTTGTATCAGACAGCCATTGTTTTTGTTGTTATGTCCATGAGTCGCCTATGACTCATAGCAACCCTATAAACAGCAGCCCTGGACCCTGCCCTGTGCTAAGCCAATCTCACAAATTCAACACACCAACACCCATTGTCCCAGTCACTGCACCAGTCCATCTTATCTGGGGTCTTCCTCTCCTGCTCTGTCCCTCCACCCTTCCAAGCATGATATCCTTCTCCAAGGACTGTTCTCTCCTGGCCACATGCCCAAAGTACGTGAGACGACGCTTCAAAATCCTTGCCTCCAAGGACAAACTTGGTTTCATCCTCTCCAAGACAGACCTGCTTGTTTTCTTGGTGATCCAGGGTATGTTCAAGACTCTTCTCCAGCACCACAATTTGAAGGCATCGATTCTTCTTCTGCCATCCTCAGTTATCATTCAGCTCTCTGAAGCATAACAAGTAATTGCAAAGGCCATAGCCTGGATTAGGTGTCCCTTAGTCTCTAGACTGACATGATTGCTTTTCAGTACTCTGGATAGGTCCCTGATACCAGATTTCCCTAATGCAATTCGTCTTTTTTATTTCTTGACTTCTGGTGGTGTTAAGAGTGTTGATTATGGAGCCAAGCAAGCTATAATTGCTAACAACCTCAATATCTTCTCCATCTATCATGGCGATGCCAATTTTCTGAGTGGTGGGAATCTCTGTTTTCTTGATGCTTCAATCCATATTGAAGACTACAGTCTTTGCCACCACCACATCAGATCAAAAAGAGGTACCCAGACCTTGGAAATTAACACATTGTGACAGCAGTATAAACAGAGATACTAAGTCACAAAATTTAGCAGAAGCTCAGTGACTAAGAACTTCCCTCATTACTGCTTCAAACAAAACTTTTCCCTGAAGGTGATACATTGGATTTGGACCTACATCCTCCTAAATAAGAGATAGACAATGGTGTGAGAGACCAGTAGCAGTGTGTAGAGCTAGGTGTCACAGAACTGACTTGTGGACTAAGCTATCATCATATAAAGAGGCTGGGGAAGGTAGGGTGTGACAGGTAAGCAGGAGTGCAAGGAATGGTGATGCAGAAGGCAAAGGGAAGAGACAAGACACATGTGCTTGGATGGGCGGGACAGTGAACGTATTGGTTATTTCTGTAAAGGAAGTATCTTTCATCGGCTCGGTGAAATGCTTGTCTGTCAAATTTTGTTCTAAAACTAAGCACTCAAATTAAGATAGACTAAGAAGAGGATTGGCCATCCACTTCTAAAGTATAACAGGCCTTCGAAAACCCTACGTACACACTTGGCAGAACACACTTAGACTAAGAGATATGGCAACTGAGGCTGAGCATTCTAATTTGGAAAAACAAAGGAGGAGGAACAGCTGTACGAAGAAACCAGTGTTGGTATGTGGAATGTGAGAAGAATGAATGTAGGAAAACTAGACATTGTTAAGAAAGAAATGGAATGCATAAATATTGACATATTAGGTATTAGCGAGATGAGATGGATTGGCATGGGACATTTTGAATCAGACGAACATATGATGTATTATACTGGACATGAAAAGGTGAGGAAAAAAATGGGGTCGCTTTCATAGGTTGTTTGTTTGTTTCTTCTTGTGTACCATCAAATCGGTTCTGACCGGCAGAGGAGATTGCCCCTCCTTTTCCAGCAGAGCATCTGATGGATATGAAGAGTGCACCTTCAGGATTGCAGTGCAGCTTCTTGCCAGTAGGCCACCAGAGCTCCTCTGCTTTCACAGTTAAAAAGGCCATTTCTAGATCCATCTTGAAATATCATATTGTAACCGGATAATATCCATACCCATATAAGGAAGATATTTTAATACCACAAATACATTTTATAAGAGACACAAACGCAGGTTATACACATGGACTTCACCTGATGGTATGCATAGGAATCAGATCGAATACATCTGTGGAAGGAACC